TGGGTGCCGTCGATAACGGTGCTAGCACGAAGCCCCAAGTCATCGTACTGGAGAGCTTGAGCGTTTTGGCCTTTTTCAAATTGTTGATCACCCAAGATAAACGAACCTGTTCCCGAGAAACTGCATCTAAGGTCTGCTCATCATAGTCGCAGTATATATCATACTGTGTGGGCTTTGTGGGTGTTGAATAAACCCAAATGTGTCTGAGCAAGTGTCTGATTGTCGCCCTAGTAGACAGGTATCCTCGAATACGAGTGGCCAGCTATATTTGTGTGGGTGTGTGTGAGTATATAATATAAATCATTATATATATATATATATATATATATATATAAAGAAAAAAAAAAGAAAATATATATATATATATATATAAAGAAAAAGAAAAAGGAAAATCTAGATATCCCTTGTCCAAATCAAGTAGAATATTCTGTAACCATGGAAACGTGATTTTAGCTGTGTCTTTAAAACACGGTAATTTTTAAAAGTTACTCCAAAATTCGCTTGAAGATGAAATGGAACTAATGCTTTTAATTTAATTGCAAAATTAAATTCGAAGCTCTTAGCTTCTATTTTTGAAATATGGTTAGAACTGTGTAGCGGAAAAAACATATTTTAAATCAATTAATTTATAATATATATATATATATATATATATATATATATATATATATATATATATATGTATATATATATATATATATATATAATTACATGAATCATTCATACAAAAAAAATATAGAGGTTAATGATTTAAATGGCGAGAATACATCTTCGCAAACAATGTCAATAAGATACACTAACCCCGAACCTGTATATGAATGATATGACCCCTGTTTATAAATTCCAGTTTCATAAGGACTTTTTTTATTTTTTACAAGCTTTCGTCTGTTCCTACAGACATCCTCAGGAATGGAAATAGATTTTGTTCTTGTTTTTTACTTCTCGGTAATAAGAGGACAACGAAAATATAGAAGTAATCCGAAAAAATGCTATGAGAAATGTGTTTTTGTTTCAGGAACGTACGGTCGTATACGTATATATAGTGAATATTACGGCTAATAATGCAAGACTCTTCGGTAAATCGAATCGAGTTATCACAGTCACTGTATTTTAATCTGAAGATACGCATAAATTCAACTTCATCCCTGCCAATTGCTTAGTGGTAGAATCCCCGACTGGTGTCAATTCAGTCGGTTTCGATCCTAGCTAGAGGTAACCGGACATCTAGCCACACTGATGAGCTGTGATACAGCGAAACAGTCTGTCTGTGGATGACAATATATATATATATATATATATATATATATATATATATATATATATATATAGAGAGAGAGAGAGAGAGAGAGAGAGAGAGAGATTCAAATACATAAATTATATATATGACGCATAAGAAAAGGGAATAAAGATATTTCATTCCGAACAATTGCATCTATAAATGACACTACGTTGTTAAAAAACCTCAATGCAATGTTTTCCATGCTATGTCAACAGGCTATTATTGAATATCTTCATCTCTTTGTATAATACGCACATCCTAATATCTAGCCAAGCATCACTTGTTTGGAAGCAGGATGCATTTTTCGTGCAGCTGTGAAATTTTCTGCGCCCAGGCGAACATATACGCATTTGCTTTATGAATAGCTGTTAATAATATCTACCATTATAAGTTAATCTAACTTCCGAAATGAACATTTATGAAATCCCATTTCCTTCTTTCACGTACGAACGTCGATCTGTTCATAAGAGATAGATAGTGTTAAGAAATGGACAAGGTTCGACAATTTATTTATTAAAGACATTTTTATGTTTTACGTTGTTATTTATAGATACAAGTATTTAAGCAAATGCTCTGTTTATGATAAACAGTATTAAATAACATTTACCGGCCTGAATGTCCGAGAAATTTTCATAGAAAATATTCGTTCTTTGACAGGATTCGAACGGAACCGTCATATACGCTGACGTGCCTTAACCGTCTCGGCCACAAAGAACCTTACGGTAGACAAGTTCGAATTTACTGTTTATAAACTTCAATCTTCCATGAATCTCGTACATTCATAACTGCTCTGGCGTATCGAATGTAAACAAATGACGTCATATGTTAAGAAATGGACAATTAAAGACATTTTTATGTTTAACGTTGTTATTTATAGATACAAGTATTTAAGCAAATGCTCTGTTTATGATAAACAGTATTAAATAACATTTACCGGCCTGAATGTCCGAGAAATTTTCATAGAAAATTTTCTGTCAAAGAACGAATATTTTCTATGAAAATTTCTCGGACATTCAGGCCGGTAAATGTTATTTAATACTGTTTATCATAAACAGAGCATTTGCTTAAATACTTGTATCTATAAATAACAACGTTAAACATAAAAATGTCTTTAATAAATAGATAGATAGAGAGAGAGATAGAGAGATAGAGAGATAGATAGATATGAAACATATTCAGATAGATAGATAGATAGATATGAACATATTGAGATAGATAGTTCTACACCGCTTTTACATATGTCTCCGTCTCTTTCTCTACTTAACTAAGTAAGCTGTCTCTTCTTTCTATACCGTTCACCTTCCTGTCATTACTGTTGCGTGCTGGGAAGTATTTCTGACAATATAGACAAGGCCATTTCCCTACACCCGTTTGCAAATATATTTGTGTTTGGGGACTTTCATTCCCACCATGCCAAGCGGATAAAAATCTCTTTCCCTGACCCCCGCTGGCATCCAAATCCTTAACTTCACAATCTTTCAATCTCTCAAGCAAGTGATGGGCTTCCCCAAACGTGTTCCCGACTCTGAAAGAATGTGCTCAAAAACAAGTCCTCAATCCATCCTCTATTCAATCAATTCAATCTCCTGCCATCTCCAACAAATAAGTTTGAATACTTTCCTCGGAAATTCTCTTCCAACTCAATACTCGACTCATTTGGATTAACATCACCTAATTTCCCCGCTGGAACAGAGACTCTGGTGCGCGATATGAACATAACCCTGTCACTGGTCTCGGATATTGTTATGGTCCGGTTACTTCAACTACGGTGATAGTCCAAGCTACAACCAATAAAGAAGAACTCGAACACGGATATGGAATAACACAGATATATTACAAACAAGAATATATACAGAGAAGTAGAAGTGTTAGTATGAACAATCAGATTTAGTCGTACTTGTCTGAACGCGACTCTGTTTCGGACTGCTTCTGACTCGACTGACTGACTCGCTCGCTCTGACTGACTAATAGACTCCTGACGGACCTCACTCCAGACTTCAAACTTGAACAGCATTTAGTCACCCCCACGAGAGCATCATGTGGCACAAGGCCGGTTTAACGTGGGATCTCCGAGCCCGTGGGATCTCCGAGCCCGTGGGCTCGGCCAAAAATATGCCCTTTGTACCCGTATAAACTGGTTCAGGGTCAGTTTACCTCCCTGAAAGAGACTCCGCCCTTCGGCGTAGCCTCGTTCGGTTTCCTCCCCGCCCGAAGGCAGAGAGTTCAACCGATCAGCCGATCAACCGGTCGCCCGACTTTAGACTGAACTCTCTGCTTCCTCTTGAGGCGCATTATTTATTACGTATGGAATAGTCCATTATGTTATTATGGGTAAGCTCCCATAACAGATATTATTTCTAAATTAGACACCCATAAGTCAAGTGGAGGTGACGGGATCCCAGGTGTCATCTTTAAAAAAATCTGCCCTGGATCTCGCTCCAATTCTCTCCAAACTTTATAACAATTGCCTCGCTAGTTCCTGCTTACCTGTTTGTTGCAAGTCCTCTGTAGTTCTTGTTTTATTAACTCTAGCGAAAATTCTGACCCCTTATCGCCCTGTTAGTCTCCTACTTCTTTTCGGCAATGTATTCAAGGTATAAATCAATGCTGAAGTGGTTATGCGTCTTACCTCTCACTGTCTACCCTCTAACAAAAAATATTGCTTCCGTTTTTCCAGTTCTCCCACATATGTGCTAACGGTCATCACTGATTACGTACATCAAGCTCTTGTTAATAACGCTGTCGTCTGCACTGTGGCTCTAGATATCTCGAATACGGTTGACAGTATTTGGCACGCTGATCTTCTATTTAAACTCGAGGGCTATGATATTACTGGACGATTGTTTGATTTAGTCCAGTACTTCTTATCAAATCGTAAAATTAAGTTTGTTTTGAACGCACTTGCTTCTAGATCACTTCACACGAACGCAGGTGTCACCAGTTCCTACGCTGTTTCTAATCTTCATCAATGATCTTCCTGATGTCATCAGTTCCCAAGTAGGCATTTATGCTGATGACACTACCATTTACTCCTGTCTCAATAGCAAATCCCTCAGATCTGACAAAGTTATCCTGACCGATGCTCTTGAAAAGACATCCACTCTGTTGTTAACTGGGGCAAGAAATGGCTCGTAAATTATAATGCTTCCAATTTAACCACTATCACTATCACTGTCCCATTGAGTTTTGATTTCGAGCTAAAGAAGAGGAGGAAAAAATAGATTAAATATCGTGGAGAAAGCAACGGAAAAATAAAGTGATATTAATATATAGTTATTTCGAAACATAAAAGAAACTGTCTAAAAATATGCTCGGCTTCGTCCCGAAGTTCATGGTATTTAATATTCTAAATAGTAATCAGTCTCACTATGCATAATGTTCTGATTTTTTTCTGTAATTAAAATATTTCTATTGCTATAAAAAATTCTACCTATTCAGACAAACTCCGCAAAATCTTTGATAATGGCTAATATTTTAGACGAAAATACTTTGATGCAAATATCATTTGGACAGTTTTTAAACACTATATGTCCCCAAAAAGACATCTCTTACAAGAAAAATATAATAACATGATTAATCCGAGTTCAATTTCAGTCATCTTCAGTGAAATCTGCATAATAAATCGATTGCTGCTCAACTACACAATTTTATATATAGATCTAAGAGTACACGCAGGGGTCATTAAAGATAAGAATATAGATATCTTCTTCACCCTTTCTCGGACCAGTCTTAATTGTTTTATTGCCCTTCACGCAGTACTTTTTCATTGCTAGTTCAAGAAAGACATTTGGGTCACTAACACACAAAAAAGCGAATGTCTAATATCGAGAATATTTAACATCGAAAAACATAAAAAAAATATTTCTTTTAATAATTCCTTTTGCCTGATGAAAGTCGCGAGACCAGAAACCCGTGTAGCAAAATTATGGAAAATAAAGCATAATATATTTTGTTTTTAAAAATCCACATTACAACCAAAAACGTTTGCGGTTCCTCTTTTCTTTTTATTATACACTTTTCTCTCGTTGAATCTACTATAACCTCCTCCGTTTATATATATATATATATATATATATATATATATATATATATATATATATATATATATATACAGTGGTTAGAAGTTAGGATCGCCCAGCATGTTCCGGGCCAGATGCGTAGATATGAGCACATAACATCCCGGTGTTTACTGGCTTATGAGTCCGCTATCGGCGAGCATTTATTGAATTCTGTTGTTTGCAGGACGGACGATTCGCCTGAGTTTTTCTCTGTCTTGCACAAGGCACGGACCAGATCATATGTAGACATCTTGGGGTCGCTAGTCATTCATATATAACGTCCTGCCCTGTGTAGGCAGAGAGAATTAGAGCATATGCTGGCCTTAATCGGGGACCTGGTCGTCAATTAAAATAGGAAAATGTTTGGGTTTTTTTTTCCGTAAAGCGGAAGAATTCTTTTCGTATCTTAATAATTTCCCTCCTTCTTTGAAATATAAATATGGACGTTGAAGAGAACAATTAGTTTTCTTTCCTTGTTATGTTCATTGAAAGAATAGCTTCGGGTTTTCTCACTCGTGTTTATCGTAGACCCACCTTTTCTGGGCTATACTTACTTGGGACTCATTTGCTTCCAGAATCGTTAATCTGAATACTCTTACTCATCGTGCTTTGATATTGTGTTCTGAGTGCAGGCTTGACCCTGAATTAAAGAAAATTAAACTGTATTTTGTTGAAGAATGGTTATCCTGAATGTGTTAGCACAGCTTCCACTGAACGTAAAGGTGTAAAGTTCAATAGATTTAAGGTATATTGTCTCTCCAAATGTCCTGTACATGTTAGACTACCCTGGATTGGTCCTGTGAGTCGAATATACGCGATGAAATATCCTCTGCCATCAAAAGGTGTTTTCCTGTCGTATTAGTCCGGAGCAGATATGCTTTTCCTTCTGGCCTTAAGGATGTCTTGCCTGCCCATCAGCAGATTTTAGTTGTGTATCAGTATTAATGTCGATGTAAGATGTAAGATCAGCTTTGTGAGCAAGACTATCAAACGGTTAGAGGTTAGGATCCCTCAGAATGTTTAGGTTCAGGTTCGTAGATATGAGCCTGTAACATCCGGATGTCCAGACTCATGGCTCGGTTATCGGCGAGCATTTATTTAATTCTGTTGCTGGCAGGACGGACTATTTTCCTGAGTGTTTCTCTGTCTTGCACAGGGCACGGACCAGACTTCACTGAGACATCTTGAAGTCCGTTGTCATTAATATACAACGCCCTGCCATGCGTAGGCAGTGAGAATTTATGCATATGTTTGCCTCAATCAGTGAGCCGGTCATCAAATAAGTGGCTTCTAAAAAAACTAGGAAAATAGTGCTGTTTGTTTGTTTCTTTCCCTTCCCTAGTCTTGGTATATTTTAACACCAATTGTTTCTTTTCAAACTCTTAGTTTTATTTGCCGACGATTTATTATTATTTATTCTGAAGATATGTCGGCCGAAATGTACCTGAAATTTTAATCGCTGTGATACTTTTGTACCCAGTTTTATTAATAAAATATGATCCCTTTTTTAAAGATCACAAACTCACACACACACACACACACACACACACACACACACACACACACACACACACATATATATATATATATATATATATATATATATATATATATATATATATATATACCCAAGTATAGGATTGGAGTAGACGGAATAAATTCCAATAAGCAACAATTAATATTCCTAAAAGAGAGCTCAATACAGAGTAGTGCGAATATAATTATTTATTTAAAAATTATAACATAAATATGTTATAAAATCACTACAAAAATAGCCAGAGGTGTTGAAACAAAATCGCTTTTTTGTAGTGATTTTATAACATTTTATTTATAATTTTAAATACTATATATATATATATATATATGTGTGTGTGTGTGTGTGCGTGTGTGTCTGTATGTATGTGTATATGTGCGTGGTTGTACGTGTGCGTACGTGTACGCATAGGCGGGGTGGCACTGAAAATTGCATTTGAGCATAAAATAGACTGTCGCCGTTTGCGTATTTAATTCAGTGTTCACTTTTATATTTACATACGCACATTCTTTGATAATGTGCACTTTAAGCAAAAAATACTTCATACCTAAAAACTATGCTTTTATCATATATATATATCCGTGTCACACTATTTCTCAAAGTAGTATCATATTCACTGTGTTCACATA